AAATCAGTTATCTGTCATAGTTTGATTTCTACCTATGCAGGCAATACGGCTTGTCAAAGACACCATTCTGTACTCGTGACTTAATATGAGCAAAATCAGTACAATGTCACTTTTATGTCACTTTATATAACCTTATATATCTATATATCTATCTATCTATATAGATAGATAGATAGATAGATAGATAGAGATATAGCTTAAATCTATAACCACCTCCTACTTTTAAAAAAATTTACAGACTCTGAAGGATGTTTGCTCTTTGCTGCCAAACACTCATCTTCCCACACTGCTGGTCAGCGTTGTGACTATAGTGCTTCTAATTGCAGCCAAGGAGCTCAACTCATTTCTCAGTTCAAAGCTGCCAGTTCCCATCCCAGTGGAGCTTATCACGGTAAGTTGACCGGAGGAGTCCCTCTCTGGCTGCTCTTTAGGTTATCACCTCTGTGCTCTGTGCTGATGTAGCGGTGCTGAAAAAGCACAGACACAGTGGAAAAGAGCAGCTGAATCAGCAGCACCGTAGGGGCCTCTCTCCTTTTGCACTTCATGGCAAAAAATTATGGCTAATAATTAAGTGCACATCATCTATTTAGTCATACAAATGACTGAATTTTAATGATTGATTTTTAAGGTAGACATGTGCTGCAAAATTTAGCTTTGCACCTTTATGTTTGTGACATTCGTGTTTGCTGTGATCATTTTAGATTGTGGCAGGGACACTGATATCCTCCTATGCCCACTTGAACACCAACTACACAATTTCAGTTGTTGGAGAAATTCCTAGTGGGTATGCATTTAACTTCATCTTCTACTGCTGTCACTTTGCTTAAGTCATTTTTCGAGCATGTTAGAACTAACTGGTTTCCTTCATATCCTCCACCTGTGCACCAGTTTAAGCTCCCCCAGTGTACCAGATGTGAGTCTTTTCGGAGAAGTTATCGGTGATGCTTTTGCACTGGCCATTGTTGGATACGCCATAACTATTTCCCTCGGAAAAACATTTGCACTAAAACATGGATACAAGGTGGACAATAACCAGGTGAATAAGACCTCACAACAAACAATCCATGACTTTTTCTACATTCAGTAAAAATCTGTTATTTTCATCTTTTTCTCTCCAAATTATGTGTCTTTGTCTCCACCCTGTCACAGGAGCTTGTGGCGCTGGGTCTGAGTAATACAGTTGGAGGCTTCTTTCAGTGCTTCTCTGTCTGCTCCTCTATGTCTCGAAGTCTAATACAAGACACAACTGGGGTCAAAACACAAGTGAGTGAGCACCTGAAGTTAAAACTTTACACAGAGGCAGCCTAGAAATAAGCGTTACATCACAAGCCAAAGTCATTCCAAAAAAGCGCTGCAGGTGCAAGAGCTGTACAGCAAACTGGCTACAAATATGTCCCAGTTGAGTACCTTAATTTAAAAAAAAAAAAGAAAAAAAAAAAGAATAGTAAACCAGAAATTTGACATTTATGATGTTTAGTTATTATGCAAACCCAAAGCTAAATGGAGACAAGAAGCAATCAAATAGTTGTTTGGGGACTGCTAAATGTTAAGAATATATGTATTACACACATGCTGTCATATCTTTGTGTTGTTTGTGCAGATGGCTGGAGTTGCCTCATCTCTAATTGTGTTAGTGACCATACTTAAACTTGGGACACTGTTCCAGGAACTGCCAAAGGTCAGATTGCGCTATGACCTGCATGTCTTTACTGTTTTTATGATGCTTTACAGATTTTCTGGCATTTCTGACCATATTCCTGACTATTCTTGTTGCTTTAGGCCGTCCTATCAGCAATTGTGTTTGTAAATTTGAAAGGGATGTTCAAGCAGTACTATGACATTGTTACACTGTGGAGAAGCAGCAAGATCGACCTGGTGAGAGGATAACAAATTGTGATCGTGTATCATTTTAAATCACATTTAAATGTAGTTACAGAGTCTCACAATAATTGTCACAGGAACGGGATAATGCAGTGTAACCCTGTGTCTCATAGGTGGTTTGGTTGGTCACCTGGGTATCAACATTGCTCCTCAATCTGGACCTGGGTCTGGCAGCATCCGTCACGTTTGCTTTGTTTACGGTTATCTTCAGGACTCAGCTGTAAGACACCTCTCACCTCATCATAGCAATTCACTCTGTAGTCTGTCAGTCATGCTGTTTGTGAGATGCAGCATTAGGGACAAGATGTTAGACTGCAGGATTTGCCAGATTAGACAAATTGGCTATATGCAAACATAATGTGCACATACATTAAGTGTTCTTATTTCTTTTCTCAGGCCGACATACTCTGTTCTGGGAAATATTCCAGGTACAGAGCTCTATGTGGATATAGAAATGCACAGAGAGGTGAGACAGAAAGCCATGAGTAAAAGCTTGTCTCCCTTGACTGCCAAATAATTAATGATGTCTCTGTGTTTGACAGGCGAGAGGGATTCCAGGTGTTACTATATTCCGCTCGTCTGCAACAGTTTATTTTGCCAATGCTGATCTCTACCTGGAAGCCCTGAAAGAAAAGGTCTGTAAGAATGATATCAAGCCCACGACTGCAACTTGTGACTTTATCTCTTGAATAGTCTGATCATTCACTATTTTCTTGATCAATAATCAAATCGTCTTGCACAGTGGAAAAAGAAATGTATCACCAAAATAACCCTGTCAGTCCCAATTCCAATCATTTATTATCACACATGACAAAAGCAGTTTGAGAACATAAAACCAGACAATTACAGATCCCTACCCTTTTTTGTGAGCATTTTTCATGTTTCGTATTCTTAAATTTATGTTATCCTCATCCTATATTTTATTCTTCTTCCTGTTTTCAGAGTGGGCTTAACATCAGCAAAATGATTATCTACAAAAGGAGGCAGGAGGCTAAACAGAAACGAAGAGAAAGACGGGCTGAGAGACGGGCAAAGAGGCAGGCCAAGAGAGAAGTAATGTTCAGTATCTTATTCTCCTTTCAGCTGCTCTCTTTAGGGGTCACTGCAGCATCTCTTCTCGCCCACTGCATCTTCCTCTCTTATGCAAACCACATACATGTCATCTCTCACCACATCCAAAAGCCTCCTTTTTGGGCCTTTTTTCTTTTTCTCCTGCCTGGCAGCTCCACCTCAACAACCTTTTCCCAGTTTAACCAGTATATGTCCTCTACATAATATGAGTCACACAGATGCGAAAGTGTGCAGGCAGGATGGAGATGAATGTCAGAGGTGATTTGAGACAGAAGGTCAGCAGAAAAAGTGAGAAGGAAGGTTTAAGACGTAGTGAAACATGCTATGATGCACGGTTTGGAGCTGACAAAAAAGACAGGAGGCCAATTTATAGGTGGCAGAGCTGGAAATGATCACTCGAAGTGGCCAGAATGGACAGGATTATATATAGTATATTAGAGGTGCTGTTCTAGTTGAGCGGTATTGGAGACAAGGTAAGAGTGACAAGGCTGAGACGGTTCAGAGATGTCCATAAGAGGGATGGTGGATATGCTGAACACAGTGTTGAGGATGGAGGAGCCAGGCAGAAGAAAAAGAGGAAGATCCATGGATATACTGAAGGAGGGCATGCAGAGGGTTGGTGTAATAGAAGAGGATGCTGCAGGTAGGGTGAGATGGAGACAGATGATCCACTGTGGTGACCTCTAAAGGGAGCAGTCGAAAGAATAATGATAGATGTGGGCCATCAGTAGCCCAATTCTTCTAAACCTAAAACCTTCAAAGCTATATTAACAATAATTTCCTTTATATCCAACTCCTAAGAGACGAGCACAGAGGGCAGCTAGACAACTTTCAGAGTTCTCTGTGGAGGAAGAGGGTGGCTGTTGGAGAGACACATCCATAGACGGGACCGTTATAGTGGAGGACGAGCAGGGTGGGACCGAGAGGGAAAACGGGACAGTGTTTGTCATCCCAACCACTCCCCGAACACCAGACGGTAGATGGGAATACCTCAAAGGAGGAGATCCAGATTGCACCAGCTTAGGATGGATGTCTGAGCTGCAGGATGGGGACACCACCACTCTGGGCTCAAGCAGTGAGGACACCTTGAGCCAGGATCTTGAGCGAATCTCTCTGGGTTCCCTGGGCAAATGGACCTGGGATATTCATTCCATCATTCTTGACCTCTCCACAGCTAACTTCATTGACACAGTGGCTATCAAGACCATGAAAAATGTAAGTGATAAGCAGGAAATTATTTCATGAGTGAAATACCTACACATTTTATGCTGTTTTAAAAGCTTGGAACAAAACCATAAGACTTTAAGATAATTCAGGGGAAAAGGGTTGTTTTTAAATAGCAATGTCAAATATAGACACAGAGCAGCATACTTTTTGAATGCTGGTGTTTAAAATTTTCTGTAATAGATTCATAGCTTGTCACAGCAAAATTGACCCTAAGATCCATTCTAATATAAATTATTGAAATAACAGAGGTTTATTATATCGACAGATTTTCCAGGACTTCAGTGAGATTGATGTAGATGTCTACATGGCTGGTTGTCAAGGTAAGTGAATACTGCTGCTGCAGGTGTATTGTGCTGCACTTTATGGTGGTGATAATTCACTCATAGACTCTTGTTTGCAGCCTCTGTGGTGGAACAATTAGAGCATGGCGACTTCTTCTCTGAGAAAATAACAAAGAGGCGTCTTTTTGCCTCCGTACACGACGCTGTGCTCCACTGTCTAAACCATCGTGGAGCGACAACCATCCCAAGATATGAGCCGTCAGTGGTACGTCCAGCCAGCATTCAGGTTTCATTTTCAAACACGACTTTCATCCGTCTGGGTATGGATATGTTATGGCTGACGATTAAATATTTAAAACACTTTTTTGATTACAGGAGCTGCATACCAGCACGAAACTTTAAGGCCTTCATGCAAACACATGTGGAAAAACGTTGAGTAGAAGGAATAATGAATTTATGCAATATCAATTTATTACTTTCTGAGCTATCCCACTGTGTGATAAGGGTGTCTCCTTCATTTTCATACAGTTTTTTTTATTTAACTTATATAAAAGAAAGACTAGTGTTCAAGACAGAAGAGCTCACTTTATTTTATTCAATGTGGGAGAGTGAGAGTGCATTCAAAAATAAATACATAATAAATAAAATGAAATCTGGAAGATATCTTGTGCATTTCATGTATTGTGCATTCCACATGGAAAAGGTACCGATGAATTCAAGGGAGAAAAACAAAGGCAACATGCATCACACTGACAGTGTGTGAGCCTATTTTTTGGTAATGGCAGCAATAAGAAGGTAGAACACTGAAAGGTTTTTGTTTTCAGTTTTCAAGTGCAATTGTTGCACATCTGTCGCATGCAAAGAAAAGCTTTTAAAATTGCAACTGCTTGACTGTGTTTCTAGTGCAATACTTCTAACACACGAGGTTTTGGTAGATAAAAATAACAGGATAGCAATATCCAAGCAAAAAAATATAACAACAAAACATCTCTTTACTGTTGCATAAACCCACTGTGACCTCATTCCCTGAATAAATCTTGTCCCTACATACTGGCCACAAGGGGTGTTACCAAAAACATTGTGCACAGGACTGAGGAAGGCTGGGATTTCTTATTTGTATTATTTGGCAGATAAGCTACAAGTCTTGATGGATGCTAGGACTCTGTATTCCTGTGTTCATAGTCAGATCTTCATCGTCATCTCCTTCCTCTTCTGGCTGTTGTAACACCAACTGCTGGTAGCGAACCTGCCTCTGGTAATCCGGATCAATGTTGATCCATTTATTGGCAACCCACTTAGTGCCATGGGTGACCATACAACCTCCATGCAGAGCGTATTCGTCCTGTTCCCCCACCCAACCTAATAAGAAAAAATGTGTTTTTTTTCCTTTGACTAAAAACATCCTTTAACTATTTTAATTTAAAAATCAAATTTACATTAACATACTGACACTTTGGTGGCAACCAGAGCATTTTGCAGTTCAGATTAGAAGTATTTATCACTGTATTAACATGAATATTTAACTCTACGTTATTAGGCTCCAAAACAACAGTTCTAATATTTTCTTGATCTCATTTAACTTTTAATTGCGTAAACAATTTGATCAACTATCAGGACTGTACAGATGTCCATTATTTTTTCATCTACTTCTACCTATTGACACCAAAGTCAAAGTCAACTGTGGTAAAGACATTCATGAATCCCTGACACTGTATCTACTGTATTCTTCACTTTGATCTAACATCACCATGAGATATATGTCTCCAATATATGTTTCTATGACAACAAACCAACCAATCATATACCAAAGTTAACCATCAGTATCAACAGCCTCTATTCACTGTTTAGTCTCAAACGTTTGCATGCAAATCCAACATTGTAAACATGTTAACACTGTTGGTATGCACTAATTTCCAAGAAATACTGAGTCTATGTAAGCTCTTAGGATGGATTTTTAGGCTTATTCAACACTTACTAAGATTATGAATTTCTTTTCATAGAAAAAAAAGCAAATTACACATCGAGACTCATTCGCTAATGTGCACAGAAACTTTTTCACCCTGCACAAAATTACTGGATTCACAAATGTGTGCACTGTCCAATTTTTTTCACATCACATGCAAATGTTTGGGAATTTGAATCAACTTAAATCAACAGTCCAGTGGAATCTGCATCCTATGTGTATATTACAAATTTCCCTTTATATGGAAACATGTTTATCTTGACGTGAGTAGGTGAAAGCGGGACAATGCTGTAAGATAGAAGCTTGCACTAAGGCAAAAAAGAAGCTTGGACATCAAAGTTAAGGAAAAATATTAATTTGATTACTTAATCAATCATTATTAGTAGGGTAGTAGTAAAAATAGTAAGTAGTAGTATTTTTAAGATGTATATTTAAATTCTGCGAGAACAGATCATTGTCATTTGTTATTATTATGGTCTGAGCCATTTCTAAATTTGTTCAGAGAGCAGAAAACAAAATCAGGTACAAAAACTACAAATTTATGTACCTGCACTGTTTATGAATGAGGTCATTCATAACCATTGTATTTGAATGTTGGTACACAATCTGTGTACTGGAAATACGTAATGAAAATAATACGCAGTTTGGTTTGCTGCATTTTCTTTTTGCTTTTTTACTGGAAATTTGTCTTTCATTTACCCACCTCTTCCATCAGAAAGGTAGTTGTACCAGAAAACAGCGGTCCCTTTGGTCGGCTTCACCCTCAGATTACTTTTGTCACAATTCCTTCTGGTGTCCAAAAGATCCACGTCATTGTGTATGAGAGACTGAAACACATGTTCAAAATCAGTCACATAGCTTGCCTGATGTCATACTCGTGCAGTTGCTGACATATGTGTGAGTCGCCACAGTTATGAAACACATGCGCAGAACGTACACAATACGTTTGCAGGACACTTTGCACACATTTCCTGACCATTTTCCTGACTATTACGCACCACTTCATCATAGGTCCTGTTGTCTGCCACTGGGAATGCGGTCTCCCCGCCCCCATCAACAGAATTCAGGTAGAAGAGAACTGTGATGTACCTAAGTGTGCAACACAGATTTAAATTGACACACACATGTATAGTGCAAGCAAACAGCACACAAACACACACACAAACAACAAGCGTGCACAATTTTTTGCAAGATAATGTTGAGTCACACAAACTAGCATGCCAGCTGTCACAATGGAGCAACAGTGAGTAGTTCAGTAATGATGTCAGACAGATGAATTCATATGTGAACAAACGTGGATATATTTGTTAAGAAGTGCTGCTTCTAGGTTCTCACCTGCAAGACGTTTCAAAAGGAGTAGAAGCATTTGCAGCAAGGCGTGTGTGTGTACAGGCTGTTTCAGGGTAGACCGGGCCACTGTCGTGGTGGGCATGGTAATGTCCCCCCTCCTCATAGCGAACCACCTGAAGAGGTTCACTAAGATCCACTAATGTGGGTGGGAGTCGAGTGAGGCGAATCACCCTTTGACAAGTGAAAGGAAATGTTTTAAATAAATGTAAGCACAGGATGAATACCAGTAACGGTTTGTCTTTCTTACCTCTCTTTGATGTCTTGGAGGACCTGGTGTGCTCCTTTACCCTGGTACAACCACGTGTGTCTGCTGTTTCTCACCAGCTGACTCCTTTTCACCCCGCGCTGCAACAGGAAGCGCTGGAAAGCATCGTTGCTCAGAAGCCTGAACTCTTCTAGACTCAGCAAACCTACCCAAAGTATGAGGATGTACAGTCATATGAACATTTTCAGAGTTCTATGAGTTCTAGCTCGTAGAACATCCTGCAACAGCAATAACTTGAAGCAAATGTTTTCTGCAGTGTCTCACATTGTTGCGGCAGAATTCTCTACACTCTTCTTAGTAATGTAGATTCAGTTAACTGAGGTTTGTTGGAACTTGTTGCAACTTTTGCACAGCTCTCCTGAGGCCTCTGTTACCTCCAGACCCTCTGAACTTTGACTGAACGATTACAAGATCTTAATTCTTTTCTTTAACAGCCGTCCTTTTGTAGATTTGTTGGTGTAAGTGAGATCATTGTCCTGTTGCATGACTCAGTATCAGCCAAGCTTTAGCTTTGGACAGATGGCCTCACATTAACACACCTGTCATGGTTCATGGGTCGATGACCCACTATGTTGAGCTTTGTGGGTTTAGTGAAGTGGTTTATGTTCTAGTTCTTATGCATTTTTCTATTACAGTTCCTTGGTTGATGTTAGTCCCTTTTGTGATCCCTGTCTCCCGAGTCATGTCCCTGTCTCCGGTCCCCGTGTTCTGTCTCCATGTCTGTTTGCATTCCCTGTCTTGTCTAGTTAATACAGCTGTAGTGTGGCTCTGTGTGCTTTCCCCTTTCCTGTTCCCATGTTTCTCTCTCTACGTTCCATCCCTTTGTCTCCTCAGTCCCATGGTCAAGTTCACAAGTTCCCCATCACATCACTTAATCAACACCTCTGACTGGCAGCACTTTTCTGCTAGTTACACTCTTTAATTCCTCTTTAACTCTCTTTTATGTTTAAATAGAGCTCAATATTTGATTAAGATTCTTATCACATCATTGTTACTAGCATGGACATATAGCACTGAAACTTGCTTGAAAACGTTGTACTGGAAAAGAAATTAAATGTATAGCAGAAGATAAGTACGTTTAGTTGCCACCTAAAATCTTTTCAAAATTATCCACAAATACATTGTTTTTGTAAGGAGGTAATTACTGTGGCCCTGAGAGCTCAAAAGCACTGCAGCCTATAAAAATAACAGCAAATCATGTGAAGGGCTGCACTGAGACACGTGAGATAAAGATGCAAGGTGAAGTAAATTCTCAATGGAAAATCAGAATACACATTACCTTGCATCTTTTTTACAAGGTCTTGGTGGAAATGATTAATTAAGTTAATTTCTTACCATTGCCATCCTTGTCGGCTTTGAGCCCAGCATAAATTTCTCGCAGATTCTCTGGTGTGAGCCAGATGCCATCTCTCACTCGAGAATGAGTCAGTATCTGGAGGAGTCATAGTGTTTAAGATGGAATGAGTTAGAGACCTCTGAAGCAAAAAGTAACAAAAAAAATACTTCAGGTTGCGCACTATGCCTCTCAGTCCACAAACTGACATACACCTCATGGAGCTGCAATTGTCCATCCTGGTTGATATCTAGAAGGTTAAAGATCTCCTCTGGGCTGAGATTGAGCTCCCTGGCCAGCTCCTCCTGACCATCTTGTACCATTAACTGGCTCTCCATTAGACCCTTCAGCTGGGCAAGCTGCATCACCACACGGCACTCATCCTCAGACAGAAAACCCGGGATCTCTGCAGAAACACAAAAAGTAAGAAACACTACGGAGGAAATTAAGACAGCATTATCTGTCTGATTCTTCATCTTCTCTTTTTAAACTAATGGGGTAGCTTAGAAAGTGTGGTAGGAAGGGTCATCTACCAATTGGTTAAGAAGGTCAGTCAGAAGGTTGGTGGATGGAGCCCCATAATTCAAAGAATCCTTGAACAAGAACCCTGAATTTCCTGCATTAAATAGTAGTATGTACATGAATGTTAGAAAACGGTGGTTAGGTATAGATAAAAGCACTGTATGAGTGTGAATGTGATTGGGTGAATGAGACCGGTAAAAGAAAAACACTTTGAGTCCTCAAATTGAGTAGAATGATGCCATACACGTACCACTCTATAATGTCAGGCTACATTCCTCAGGCTAGAATTTAACCAGTTGTTGACTGATTTAAAAGATGGACTTGTTGACTTTTGGAAATTCTGAATATTGCGTCTCACATTTTCAAAATTTACTTGATTAAGGAAAAAAACATAACTATCAGACTAATTTAAATTTCAAATATTGTCAAACCAAAGTTCAACCTACAGAAAATCTTCTTATATCAACCTTGAGACAGCTCTTTAAAATCTGCAGGAAATCGCATTACTTATAAAAACAAAACAAAACGTGAATAGATCAGGAAGCAATCCAAATGACTACAGGCCTACATTTCACCCACTTCATAATACTTGTAAAGCATTCTCACTGCATGCTGTGCGCTGATGCATTATGTTTTTCAGGTACAGATGCATTTCTGCCCTTTACCCAGTCAGCTGTGAGACCCTAATTGCATCCCATGTGCAATGGACCGACTTTGAATAGAGTAGTTGCCTTAGGACTTACTTGCCTATTTTATGAAGTCCTGGATGTAGCACAATACTCAGCCCAGTCTGGGTTATGTTAAGGTAAAGTAGCCAAGTGTAAGCTGCAGCACTTCTTTTTTTATTCCCCTTTTGGGCATCTGAGGCAGATCTTCGTTTTTATTTTCTTTTAGCTACGTGGCTGTGCAGCCTCTTACCAAAAAGAAGCGGTTTCAGGCTCAAAGTCCTCATCTCGTGAAGTCTCCCTGACACCAGTGACACCTTCTGGACATGTCCCACCTGAAAGGGAAATCAAAGGCGTGTGAGAGAATGACAGAAGGAGCGATGCATCATCATCATCCTCAAGTACTCACCCTAACTCACCCTTATTCCCTCTATCCGTGGCAGAGAAATATCGCGCTGAAGCTCGTCTTTCGATGGCGGACGTCGCGACTCGGGGCGCTGGTGGCCGCTGCTGGGAGCATCACGACTTCGGCTCGCGTCTTCCTGCCCACTGTTGTAGTGCACGTAGAAAAGCAGCGCGATCACGTTAATGATGTAAACATGAAAAAACACCATCACTACCACAAAGTAGGAGCGGGAGCACACGCTGCTCTTGTGGCAGGAAAGGCGCTCGCACGGCTGACGAAGCGGCAAGGTCGCGCTCCCGGACGGAGACGTGTCCTCAGCAGCAGCATCTTGGGTTTCCTGGTTGTCAGTCATCTTGGCTGGAGGAGTTGTTGGGTCCTCGGCAGCCAAGGTCCATCTGTTTAATCAGGCGACGAGATAAACCTTTTATGTGTCCCCAGAAGTAGCAGATGTGCCGAGTGACAGATGTCTAGTTTGATTACATTTAAAAAGAGAGAAAATCCCTAAAGAGCTCCAGTTTTCTTTTTTCTTCCCCTGGAGAAAATTAACCAAAATCCTTGCGCATTTTGGGAAAAAAAAAGATGCCTGATTTTTCGCGGCGAAAATACAGCTCCTCTTTTCTGAGCCTAGAAGTCAGCTATGAGCGGAATTGTGTATGTTTTATTGTGCAGATAGCGGCGCTGCAGCCTCGGACAGTCTTGTTTACACTGCAGCAGTTCCAGTCAGCAAAGCGCACTGCGCATCCCAAAGCACTGCGAAACTCATCTCACACACACGGTCCGTAAAGCTGACCCCGCATCGACTGAAACCGACGAAATCCGTCAACAACAAAAAAGAAAAAAAATCAGCTTTATTTCGACTGCAAATAAGAAATCTGCGATCTTATTTACACGCCGTAACAGCAACTCCCCGCTGACAGCAACAGCATGTGCAGTGTGCAATGCTGACCTCTGGCGACCTCCGGCAATAACACGTCCCCGTCTTTAAGATCTCCACACAGTCCGGGGCAGGGCCTCTGCTTACAAAAGGTCCAGCGTTTATTTGCTCGTCTCAATATGTTAGGTGGCTAAATGTTGAATGTATTGTAATGGTTTTAATAAAGTTTTGTTTTGAATGGACTGTCATTTATCCTAAACCTGGATGTCTGATCAAGCAATCATCCCAACTTCATTGGGATAAGATGCTCAGTTTTCCAAAAAATAATTAAGTAAATAAATAAGTAATACAAACATTTACTGAACATCCTAATAATTAATGTATTGAATGAATGGATATTTAGCTTTTGTACTTATGCCAACTAGTCACTTCCTGCTGCCATCTTTGTTTGGTTCAAAGAGCTACAAACTGGAGAGCAGGTAAGTTTGTCTTTATTGTGCACCCAGCTCAGTATTTCTGCTCCAGGTTAATATAGAGGTTTTCAAAGTTTCATACGAAGTTTTACAAATAAAAAAATGAAAAAAAAAACAACTTTGTTTGGGGCAATGGGTGTGATATGTATCGAAGCTTGTTTCCCCACTAACCCCCCCTACTGCTAACCGTAACTCAAAATTTCCAGTTATTTTCGTATTAACTGAAAATAACTGGATAACTGGATAAGGATCGCATTTTTTTAGTGGCGGAAACACGCTTTCATACATGGGTGTAGGGATGGAGGACATGCAGAGGGTTGGTGTAACAGAGGAGGATGCTACTGAGTGACCCTTAAACAGAGCGAAGAAGAAGAAAAAAATGCTTGCAGTAGTAAAAGTAGTTTTATTTTGAAGTAGCAGTAGGCCCATCATTTGAAAACAGTTTTGAAAGTATAGTACTTTGATTCAAAATACTGACTACTAAGGCAGTAAAATGGGATAATTTCTTTTCTCATGGATACAAATGTATATAAGAATCAATGTATGTATAGTACGTATAGAATAGCAGGTTCTGCAGAAAAATTGAAGATTCAATTGTTGTTAGAGGTGAATCGTAGATTATTTTTTATATGTTGTAATTGGTTATTTGTAGTCTAATATATGTATTACGTTTTGCCATCTACTATATTTGACTCTTATATTTGATGTTTAATACAGATAACAATGTCATTCAGAAATAGGTCACTTGTAGGTAATTATCCTCAGGACTTCATTCTGACATGCCTCCAAAAATGATGGAAAGAGCTTTCATGTGCTGAGACTGTAATAGATATTAGGTACTATGAGCATGAGAGTGTTGCTATGATAGCTTGGAAGGTATTCAGTTCAGTTCAGTTATATAGTGCTTAATTCCCACAACAGTTGCCTCAAAGCCTTTATATTAGAATGTATATATATATATATATAAAACAATGAGACAATCCCTTATAAGCAAGCACTTGGTGACAGTAGGAAGGAAAAACTCCCTTTTAACAGGAAGAAACCTC